ATTCGGCCATAATTTCAACCTCAGAGGGGAACCTGTACGACCTCAAGCAAATACCCTTTCCCGCACAACACCATTGGCACGTCGGATAGACGCAGCACCAGACCATGGATGGGCGCCCCTTGCCGCATTACAGGGCTGTGTCGGAAGCAACGCGCCAGCGCGAGACGTTCAAGTGAGTTTTTGGCATGATATTTGATAGCACTCCCCTCCTCGCTGCCTCCTCTTCCCTTGGCCCCGAGATGACGATGTGGACATTGCTTGAAAGCATCGTATGGGAGAATAGAGGAGAAGGCCTTCATCACCAGATGACTGCTGACCATTGTGGGAGAGCCCCCTTGCTGATACGATGCCTGAAAATAGATATGATCCGACGCTCTTGTCCAATTCCAAGGTCAACAACGCGGGCGTCGCTCTGCCAAGCTCTGAGCTGACGCCATCGCGAGACTTGGTCTTGACCGCCCTTGCTCAGCTGGCCGTCTTCCAGACAGGCACAGAAAGAGCCTTCATCTCCCTGTTTGACGTGGAGCATCAGTATTTTGTCGCTGAAGCAACGAGGACGCTGCTCACTTCACCAGATGACTCCGATCTGGGGCTTTGGATGGTTGGTACGGCCATTCCTCGTGCCCACAGCACCTGCGAGTATACTCTTCTCGAGTCAGATCGTCTCGAGAGAGCACGCGAGAACGCAATCCTCACGGACCCGACGCAGTTTGATCACTGCGAAAATGACGGCGATTCAACCCAGCTGCCGGTCCTCGTGGTCCCGGATCTCGCCACTGACGAGCGTTTCAAGATGAAGCCGTACTGCCGGCCTGGAGGTGGACACCGCTTCTATGCCTCTGTGCCTATTCGGACGCAGCGAGGCATCAACATCGGCGTTCTCTGTGTTGTGAGCCCAGACCCCGACCGCAGATGGATCGACCGCTATTCGAATTTGATGCGTAGCCTGTCCGTGGCCATCATGGATCATCTCGAGGCCAATTTTTCAAAGGTGGCCTACCGCCGCAGCGAGCGCATGATGCGAGGCCTCGGCTTCTTTGTTGAAGGAAAGGCGACCGAATCCTCTTGGGCCTCTGTTGCCGGTAGGGAGACGTTTACGGAAACCCCGGACGCTCTGTTTCTGGCTCGCCAGGGACTCATGGGAGAGGTTGAGGCCACTAATGGTGGCCCTCCCGTCTCCGAAGCCACCGCTCACTCTACGGCCAACTCTGAGCGATCTCCCTCGCCAGACGGTGACCGGCTCGATCCCAATCGCAAAAAGGAAAAGGAACGCCCGGGGAAGCCAGCGGCGGAGACGAAATGGGCCGACAACTTTGTTCCAGGCCCCAACCCAATGATGGACACGTTTTCCGAAGCGGCCATGATAATACGTGAGTCGCTCGAGACGGACGGGTGTCTCTTCCTGGACGCAGCCCCTGGATCGTTTGGCTCCTATGGTAAGAGAAAGGGCCGCTCCTCGGGCCACCCTTCCTTCCGAGACATCGACAGCAGCAGCAACGATGACGACGAAGATGACGACGACGACAGCGGCAGCGATTTTGAAGAAGACGCAGCGGAGCTAGAGTCTCAGCCCGGCGACGCTGGAGCCAACACCGGCGCTACTACTAACGGTACCAACGCCGAGGCCAAGCAATGGACAACAGCTCAAGTGCTGGGATATGCGGCGACGGAGAGCCGGCGGTCCAAGTTTGAGGATGGCTCGCTTCGGAGGATCAACATGCCGCAGAAGTTCCTCGCAAAGCTCCTTCAGCGGTATCCCAAGGGCCACATCTTCAATTTCGGCGTCAACGGAGAGCTGCAGTCGAGCGACTCGTCCGACGACGACGGCTGGCTGACGGACCTCACCCAGGACGCCGTCTCGCCCCTTCAGCCCGACCCGCCGCTGCCCCCTCAGGACGACGCCTCCCAGCCCAAGCGACAGAGGCGGCCTTGGGCGCGCCACAACGAGGGCAAGATTATCCAAGAAGTGTTCCCCAAGGCCAGGAGCGTTGCCTTTGTCCCCGTCTGGGACCCGAGAAAGCAGAGGTGGTGCGCGGGAGGCTTTGTCTACACCCTGACGCCGACCCGCATCTTCACCGTGGGGGGAGAGTTGAATTTCTTGAGGGCCGTGAGCATCTTGGCGATTGCAGAGACGCTCCGCCTGAAGACTTTTGCAGCTAACCAGGCAAAGTCGGATGCCCTGAGCTCTCTGTCGCACGAACTGCGCTCCCCCCTGCACGGGGCCGTGCTGGGCATCGAGCTGCTTCGCGATACCGAACTGACCGTCTTCCAGGGCAACATTGCCCACACCATCGAGATTTGCTGCCGCACGCTCGTCGACACGGTCGACCACCTCCTCGACTACTCCAAGGTGAATAGGTTTATCCAGACGAGACGCACGGGGGGTCAGGCATCGGAGCCTAGAGGGCTGCGACCAGGAACGGCCAGATCGGTCGAAGAGGGCATGCTCAGCCTGTACAAGCACATCCGGCTGGACGGCATCGTCGAAGAGGTCATGGACGGCGTCTACGCCGGCTTCAACTTTATGCACATGGCGCTGCAGCTCGCCAAGCACAAGAACTCGGCGCACTCGTCGGACTGGACGGCTATGCGCCGCCTGGACGCGATGCAGGCTATGGAAGAGCTCGGGTCCAACGGCAAGATTGCGCTGGGCGAGGTGACCGTCTTCCTGGAAATCGACCACGCCTTCAACTGGCGGTTCTACACGCAGCCCGGCGCCATCCGGCGCATCGTCATGAACCTGCTCGGCAACTCGCTCAAGTACACGCAAAAGGGCTCCATCAAGGTGCGCCTGACCCAGTCCAAGCCGAAGCGCAAATCGTCCGCCGATGCCATTGTCCACATCATCGTGTTCGACACCGGCAAGGGTATAGGAGAGGACTATCTGCGCAACGACCTGTTCAAGCCCTTCTCGCAGGAGGACCACCTCGCCCCGGGAACGGGCCTGGGCCTCAGCTTCGTCAAGCAGATTACGTCGCAGCTTAGGGGCCGCGTCAATGTCGACAGCCGAGTCAACGTGGGCACCATTGTCAAGGTCTCGCTGCCGCTCATGCAGACGCTGACGCCTCCCGACGGCACCCCCTTGCTGGCCGAGAACGAGGGCGATTTCGACAAGCACGTTGCCGAGGCCGCGGGCCTTCGCGTGCGTCTCCTGGGCTTCGACATTGGCAGACGGGCTAGGCGACGAATGCTGGATGGGAGCTACACCGAGCTGCTCGTCGAGGTTGAGCGCATCTGCCGCGACTGGCTGGGCCTCAACATCATCACCGAGGCCGAGGCCGAACAACAGCCGCCCGACTGCGTCATCTGGATCGAAGACACGCTTGCCAACTCTCCGTTGGAGAATCTCATGCAGGGACCGCCCTGCGTGGTGCTGTGCAAAAACACCCTGGTGGCATACAAGAGCGCGGCGCAGTTTGAGCGGGTCAAGGCGCACCGGATCTTTGAATTCGTTGCTCAACCGTAAGTGATATCTCCCTGCGTCTCCAATGTGACAGGTTAACCTCCTTTCCCTCTCCCCCTCTTTCACCATTCACTGACTTTGCCCTTTTCTCTTGCATCAGGATGGGCCCCCGTAAACTCGCCAAAGCAGTGGCACTGGCGTTCAAGCGCGGCCGCGAACTCAAGGCCATGCCCCTGTCCCCCATCACTCCGCGCCAGGAATTCCTCCCCGTCGTGCCGGACCTCCTCAGCAACGTCAAGACCCAGCTGCCTGCGCCCACGCCGCGCCTCCAAGCGCTGCAGAACCTCCTCACCGAGAGCGAGAAGCCCGCAAAGGCCGCCGTCGTCGATGCTCCCGCCGCAGACCCCGAACCCGCCTGCGAGCCCACGCCAGAGTTCTTGCTCGTCGAGGACAACAGCATCAACCTCGACATCCTCTCCATCTACATGAAGAAGCTCGGCCGCCCCTACCACACGGCGACCAACGGCCAAGAGGCCCTGACCGCGTACAAGCTCAACCCAAAACACTGCAAGTACATCTTCATGGACGTGTCGATGCCCATCATGGACGGCTTCGAGGCTACGCGCCGCATCCGTGCCTACGAGCGCGACAACCAGATCAAGCCCGCCATCATCTTTGCCCTCACGGGGCTCGCCTCGGAGAGCGCCCAGCAGGAGGCCTTTGGCAGCGGCGTCGACCTGTTCCTGACCAAGCCCGTCAAGCTTAAGGAGCTGGGCATGATCCTCCGGTCCAGGGGCTTGCTTCCCGAGGAACCCCTGGTGGTTGTGACCAAGAACGGGACTCACATGGCCTAGAGCCAATGAATGAGCCTCTTCTTCTTCACCTTATTCGTGATTCATTTCATCATTATACTAATTTGCATTTTCTTTTGTTTCTTTCCGGTTCCCGTTTCTGATTTCTAATCGTACTCGACTTCAGAAAGGAGGGTAAAAACATTCAAGGGTGTCAAGGGGCAAAAATAGGTTTCACAGGCCACGTCGGCTTTAAAAGGGATAGGTTCTGGAAGGGCATCGATGTTCTTTTCTTCTTCATTCATCTTTGACGGACAAGGATTTCCACTTTTACGACTGTCATCTTTTCTTTTTCGTTCATCTTTGACAGACAAGGATTTTCACTTTTACGACTGTCATTACTCGGGGCAAATCCAAATAAAAAGACAAAAATCACACACACACCAAAAAAAAAAAAAAAGACACATGACGACATTTGAATCGGACAAATCGGGCGGACACTTACAACGGACAACTCGCGTGGTTCTTTTACGTTCTCTTTGTCAACAGAGTTGCAATAGATACACGCACATTTAAGACGGCATGGGGAGTAAACGGAACTCAAGAGGGAACTTATGACGATGTTATGCCATTCTATAATCTTTGCTTTACTTTGCTTCACTTTTTTTTTTTTTTGTTCAAGATCGGTATACGCGATTCGGAGATTACGGTACTTGCTTTTTTACTCATAATGAAACCGTACAATTTTGATAAATAACTGATACATATATATGTCTTACAATATGTGCATGTGTATATACTCGTAATCACGAAGACAGCAACACAATCGGGTTGCCGTTGGTCACATTCAAGCAAAGCTGCCCATTTCCATCTGCGGAATACGTCGGGCCCTTGCCCTCGTCAAACACATTCTGCCACTGGCCGTTGGGAACCTGCGTGCCGAAGCAGTACTGGCCCGAGCTCCCGTTCCCGCCGTTGGTCGTAAAGGCCACCATCTTGCCACCGGCGCGGCTGAAAGCGTACGCCGTGCCCTCTACGTACAAGTGCTTGTGGTCGTTGTCGGCGAGCCCACCCACGGCGTGCTTGGCATAGGTGAGCTTGGAGATGGCATCGTACATGTCGGACTGGGTGTTGAAGCCGCTGCGCCAGAGGTCCTCTCTGTTGGCGGGATCGTTGCTGCCTGAATAGGCCTGCTCGGTGCCGTAGTAGACAATGGGGATGCCTCGCGAGAGAATGGTGTAAGCCAGAGCGTTCTTGAGCAGGGCCGTGTCGTTCTTGACGCTGAGGAAGCGAGGGTTGTCGTGGTTATCGACAAAGGTGCCCAGCGCAGTCGGGTCCGGGAACGAAGAGCCAATCTGGTCGTGCGTGTTGACCATGTCCTGCGAGGAGCCCTGCTGCTGGTAAAAGCGAGTCATGGGGTAGTAGATGGCATAGTTGAGCAGGCCCGGCATGAGGCTGGCGTAGGGCAGCATAAAGTTTGGGTCTCCGTCAAAGACCTCGCCGATGCAGTAGACGCCTGTGGCGTTGACAAAGCCGGGCCAGTAGTCTTGCTCGACGTGCTTGACGGTGTCGATGCGGACGCCATCGAAGCCGTAGGTCGAGACGAGGTTGGAGACCCAGTCCTGGTAGAGGCTGCGGATGGTAGGGCTCTGAGTGTCGAGGTCCGGGAGGCCGCTGATCCAGCAGTTTTGGACGCTGGTTTGGTTGTTGTAGTCAATGTCGCATTCTGGATGATACGACGAGTTCTCGTTCAGGGGAGTTGGAAGGTCGTCAGGAATGTTGGCATAGCCCATATGATTGGCGACAACGTCCACCATCATGTAGAAGCCCTGTCATTATACGTCCTTTTTAGCACGATACTTCGGAAGTGGGGGTATATGAGATAGGGTGTGTCGTATGATATACCTTGCTATGGGCGGCATCAACAAGACTCTTTAAATCATCCGCAGAACCATAATGAGAATTGATGGAATCGATATCGCTTGCCCAATAACCATGATAGCCCTTATCGCTGTCTGATTGAATATAAATCATGAGATGCTAATCCAAGAGATGATGCTTGAGGCTATAGACAACTCACTCGTAACAACGGGCGTGATCCAGATGGCGTCGAATCCCATGCCTTTGATGTAGTCCAACTTGCCCTCCAGACCTTGAAACGTACCGCCGCAGTAGTCTCCCAGGTTTCCGCACGCACTGCCTCCGGAATCATCCGCTCCGCGAGCAACGCGGTCTGTAAGCGCAAAGTAAATGGTCCGAGACCTCCAGTCCGCCGTGGACGCCGAGAGGACCGGCAGAGAGAGCCGCAAGAGCAGCGGCAGAGTGAAAAGAAGCTTCATCTTTGGCTTCTCCCTTGAAAATGCCGAGATCAGCCGAAAGGAATCGCAGTTCGGGTTGTTTGTTTGTTTGTTTGCTTGTTTGCTTGCTTTTGCTTCTAGTAATTGTCAAAAAGAAAGGGCAAACCACGCCGAGATATATACTCACTCGCATGTCGTTCCATCACTCGTTTTCTCCTTTTCGAATGAAACAATATCACGGCGCATAAACGACTACATCCACTCCGCAAAACATCAATATCCACGCCTGACGAGAAAAAAGCACCCGCACCACTTACAGACCTCCTGTTCTAGGCAGCCCATGACGCTGATCCCAGATCTGCTAAGTCACCCGTCAAACACGCCCCCGACAAAGGGCCGAATGGGACGACATCCACAACTATTCGCCAGAAGCCCGTATGGAATAGCCGTCCTGAAATATAGCATGTCAAAGGGGGCAGCGCCCTTGGTCGTGACAAAACCAAAAAGCGAGATTCATGGAGCACGTAGCGCGGTCCAGCCGGACGAAACAGCGCATGGAAAAGCCCGGAAACCACATGGCTAGTGATTATGCCTCTTGTTTGGCGCCAGTAATAAGTCCCGGAGCCTCGAACCCCTGCGCGCGCGCTGTCGGTTTCGGCACATCTATTGGCGACTGGCACCCGGCCGGTGGCGTCGGACTGGAATTGCGGGGGGCAGCACTCAAGCTGGAGACGTGAAGCTGAGTGGAGGGGCAAAGCAGACAAGGGGAGATTGTCAAGTGTCAAGTGTGTCAGAGGTCAAGAGTGGTTGATGGATGGCTTGAGACGCAGACCGCCCAAAGGGGGGGGGGGGGGGGGGGGGGGGGGGGGG